AAAAAAAAAAAAAAAAAAAAAACTCTAAGATTTCAAAAATAATCTTTAAAATGTTTCATTAATATCCTTTCATTTCAAAAAAATAAAAATATATTTCCATGTTAAAAATACTCATAAAATTTAAAAATAGTATTAATATTTTTTAACTCTCTTAAAAAAAATCAAAAGAATAGCATTAATACTTTTTAACTCTCTTAAAAAAAAATTCAAATCAATATTTTTAAAGCGTGATACCCACCTAGATTAGAATGCAAAATGTGCTTTATTATTATATCCGTAATATAAGCTCAAATTCAGGGGCAAGAATGTAACGCAATAAAAAACAACCATTTCTCTGTTTTAATTCATCTTTTTTACTTTTTACCTTATTTATAAAACTGTTTAAACCCTCAATTTTTCTCCTCAAAATTTTCCTCAATTTTTCTCCTCAAAATTTTCCCATCAGCAATGCAGCCAAAGAAATCCTCCGACATCTCTGGTTTCAACACTCAAGGCTTTAAAACGTGTTAGGGGAAGAATTCCACATCCTTATAAAGGGTGTTTTTGTTCTTCTCCCAAAACCAATACCAATGTAAGACTATCACATTTTTCCACTCACTTCTAAAATAGTTTTATGAATAAATCTATTAAATAGACTCATCCATGTTTCGAAGATAATTTAAAGATTAAACTTGTAACTTAACGTATAATAGAGAATATGATAATTCATGGATCAAGGAAGAAAATAAACAAATCCCAACTTGTTCCATGAATCAGTTGGTAGGGGATGTTTTTACAATAATTACATAAATGGATGATGATTTGATTTTTGTTTTTAATTCTATAGTTACAAATAAGGATGAAGTTATGGGATTTTTCTTAAAATGATATTTGATTAATTATGTACGACTATAAAGCTATTACATATAAGTTGATATATATTTTTAATCACCTGGTTAGTTATCATTGCTCGAGATTGACTCTGGAAGTTTGAAAGTTGGAGGCTTGTCAACGCCCCGTCGGGAGTACTCTCTCCATCGTCGAGCAGCAGCTGCAGCTCGTTTTGCTCTTTCCTTTGTTTCCTCTTCTGCAACCATTTTAAAACTAGTTTTAGTTTTTGTTACTCTAACGACCCAGGTCCACCGCTAGCAGATATTTTTTTCTTTCGGGCTTCCCCTCAAGGCTTTAAAACGTGTCTACTAAGGGAAGGTTTCCACACCCTTATAAATGGTGGTTTGTTCTCCTCCCCCTACCAATGTGGGACATCACAATCCACTCCCCTTCGGGGCCAGGGCCAGCGTCCTCGCTGACACTCTTTCCTTCCTCCAATCGATGTGAGACCACCCACAAATCCACCCTCCTTTGGGGCCAGCGTCCTTACTGGCACACCGCCTCGTGTCTACCCCCTTCGGGGAAGGGCGAGAAAATTGGCACATCGTTCGGTGTCTGGCTCTGATACCATTTGTAACGACTCAGGTCCACCGCTAGCAGATTTTCCTCTTCGGGCTTTCCCTTTCGGGCTACCTCTTACAATTTTAAAACACGTCTACTAGGGGAAGGTTTCCACACCCTTATAAATGGTGGTTTGTTCTCCTCGACATCACACTTACTGATATTAATATTTCAACGAGGTGAATTTAGGTAAGCTTTGAGGTTAATGAAGATTACTAACCATTAGCTGGATTTGTTTTATCTTTAGGGCTGCCCCAAAGATTGGTCCAGTATGAATCATTGCTTTCAGAACCTTTCTTCTTCGTCATCCTCACTTTTGCTTGTTCCTGCGCTCCACATATTAGAAAGAGCCATAAAATTAAGCGCTCATCATCATAAAAACTTACCATGACTTTTGATTGCCTCTTCTCCCATCGAGTACTAGCCTGCAACATTAGTAGCAATCACGGGAAGCTCGGTTAGGACCACACAACAACGCACACATTCAATTGATCTAGATGAACACAAAGAACAGGTTTATATTGATGACGAATATTGACTAAAAGTTTACATGGATGACTTCAGGTACATAAGTAAGAGAAGATACAAAGAAGTCAGAACGTACATCTTCAAAGCACTACCTAACGGGTATATATATATGGTTTTAGTTTACTCTACTAGATATAACCATAAGTATATAGCACTGTCCTAATTTCAGCTTACCATATAAGCTTACCATATATAGCTTTAACGGATATATTTATCTAATATATATAACAATTGAATAAGCTACAAAGAAGCGAACCAGCTCAATTCTTTCGAACAAATAAAAATTAAATGTAAATCTTATTCGAATGAGGTTTAACAATTTAGAGATTAAATAGAATTTAAAACGTTCATACCAGTCTAAAAACATCCACGGCGGATGATCCCATTCCAGAAAGCATAAACGCAACCTGGCCATAAACATTCAAATTAGAAATTGAAAATCTAGGACAAAGAAATTTCTGCATTACTTACATTCACTCTTTCGACCCGCCGCATTTCATCTTCGAGCAGAGATAATTGTGCTGCTGAAGTCCAATGGATGCAATCTACTGGACTGTCGAGGGAGGAGAAAACATGGGTCAATGGTAGCATCAGGCAAATTTCTAAGCCAGAATTTGAAAAATTGGTACTCGAATTAGATCGATGACTGTGTTGAGGATTGTTGGTGGGGGAGTCCCACATCGGTTAAGGGAATGATCATGAATTTATAAGTAAGGAATACTTCATACGAGGACTTTTAAGAAAACCAAAAGCAAAGTCAAGTAGACAATATCGTACCATTGTGATAATTCATTTTGTTAACCAAATTATAGCATGAAATGTTTGTAGTCTTGGTCTTGAAAATACATGTAATAGAAACTATTGACAATTCCCAAGCTATCAACATACATGTAATAGAAACTATTGACAATTCCCAAGCTATCAACAGCAAGATTTGGAGAACAAAAAGATAAAATGAGTTCAGATTCAATCAGAATAAAGTGAGCTTACCAACTTTCAATTGCTTCTTGAACTCGTTGAGGATTCCCACACTGGCTATACACACGAGCTCGTCCGAAATCTTCTTCAATTCCAAAGACATCAGGGGCGACATTAGCACAATTTTTGCAGCCTGGAAGTCAACAAAATCTCAAACTCATTCTATTGTGCCATGATGCAATACTTCATGAAAAAAATTAAGGGAACATTAAGAGAAGAACACGTAAGATTGTAACACCGAAGTCCACCACTAGCACGTCTATTAGGAAGAGGTTTCCACATCTTTATAAGGAATGTTTTGTCGATATGGGATCTCACAATCCACCTCTCTTATGGGTCCAGCGTCTTCGCTGGCACACTGCCCCACCCCCTTGTTGGGCCAGCGTCCTCACTAGCATACTGCCCGGTGTTTGCCTCTGATACCATTTGTAATGGTCTAAGCCCACCGTTTGCAGATATTGTCCTTATTAAGTTTTCCCTTCCAGAGTTCTCTCAAGGTTTTAAAACACGTCCAGTAGGTAGAGGTTTCTACACCCTTATAAACAATGATTCGTTCCCCTCTCCAACCAATTTGGGATCTCACTAAAGTTCTGTTTCGAAATACTTTTTTAAGAGCTTAATAAAGTATTTTTTAAGGAATCAGAAACAATTCAACAGAGCTTAAGAGAAAGACTCCCGCGTACCTATACAGCTGAATTCATCAACAAAAGCGAGATCCTTTGTGCTTGAACCATCCATAAAAGGGTTGATTGCTGTCAAAGCATATCCATGAATTTCATCATAAACCATTCGCTGCACTGGGTCACTAAGCACCTGCAATTTAGCAGGAAGCAAAAAAACTACAAGATTTATACAGATATAATCTAAAAATCTAGGTAGATTCTTCTACTTTGTTCATATATTATTTTTCCTTCTATTTATAGGATTTGCGTTCCTGTAGTGCCAAGCTTAAAGCATTTAGCATCGTTTGCGTTTGAAATCCTACCTCATAGACTTCATTAATGAACATGCAGAAATTGGTGGTGTCTGGATCATCGCCGCTCAAGTCTGGATGGCACTCTTTCATGCAATTATAATACGCCTTTTTAATCTGTCCCGGGCTCGCATCCGGAAGCTATAAACAAAAAAAAAAAAAAATCAGGAACTGTTCATTTCAGTAGAAACAAAAATTCGCAATTGAAAAAAGAAAGAAATAAAGTTGCAGTCAACGAACACCACGAGAATTTTTTAAATTAGTACTTTATGGGAGAAGTATTCCTAAAACTGAACAATATTTTAATGTGTTAAGAACATTTTTCACTCATGAATGATTCATAAACTACTCTATAACAGTTTAACAACTTAGAATCACACCAAAATGCAAAATCAAGGACAAGAACAAGAAAAAAAAACGATCCAAAACAAGCAAATAAAAATGCCTTACGGTTCTGATCAACTACTAGCCCTAAAATCTTCACATCCAATCTGAGACTAAAAAAACTCCATGAAACAACAAGGAGCGAAATCGACAGATAATCCAGAGCCTAAGAAACGGCGTTCATAGTTTTTAACAGTTCAATACCAAAAAAAAATTTAGATCGAAATCGAACGGCGTACCAGTCCCAAAACGGCATAATAATCATCGGCAATGGCCTCCGTTGCCGCCGAATCCCTCGCTGCGACTTTCAAACTGCCACAGTTCCGTCTTCCAGCGCCGCGGCCAATCTTGCCGGAAGAACCGGTAGACTTCGCAAGGGAGCGCCATGGGCTCAGAAACGGAGGCTGGACTTTGATGGCCTCGGCGCAAACAGGGGAGAGCAGCTGAGCCATTGCAGAGGGAGTTGCATGAAACAGAACATAACGAAAAAGAAAACAGGGGTAAAAATGGAAAGAATTATGGATTTTTTTGTTGGGCGTTTAGGGATATTTAGAAATTATGAGGAGGAAGAAATTTTGACGTGGAGGGTAGGTGATGACGTGGCGGATTGTGAGCCAATAAGCTCCTTGAATGTGGACGAAACGAAGTTAGATTAATGTAGTTAGAGAAGTGGCGAGAGTGTGCATCTTGCAGAAGCAAGGCACGTGCCGGCTTGTGTATTATTGTTGCCTCACGTGCTACGGTGTCGTTTCGTTCCATTATCTTCAAATAGAAAATGGATAACAAAGTTGGTTATGGTTTTTGTAAGTATCATAATTATTTTAAAATATTTTCTTTTTAAGTGACTCTCAACACTAATATGATATTGTCACTTTGATCCACGATTTTGATCCACAGGTATGATATTGTCCACTTTGATCTACAGGTATGATATTGTCCGCTTTGATCCACAGGTATGATATTGTCCGCTTTGATCCACAGGTATGATATTGTCCACTTTGAGTATCAGCTTTGCTTCTTAAAAGGTCTCACACCAATAGAGATAGTATTATTTGATTATAAACCTATAGGCTTCCCCAAAAAGTCTCACACCAATGAGATAGTATTCCTTTATTATAAACCAATGATCATTCCCTAAACTCCCCTCGAACGAAGTACATTTCCCCTTAATCGATACTTGACTATGTCTTAGTCGATACTTGACTATGTCTTAGTCGATACTTGACTATGTCTTAGTCATTTTTTACTGAGCCTTCGAGGAGGCTCGACTCCTTTTCTTTTTAGAGTCCTTTGTTCGACATTTGAGGATTTACCCATGGCTCTAATACCACGTTAGACGAACACAACTCTCCACAACACAATGATATTGTCCACTTTGAACTTCCCCAAAAGGTCTCTGACAACTCTCCACAACACAATGATATTGTCCACTTTGAACTTCCCCAAAAGGCCTCTGCTTTGAACTTCCCCAAAAGGCCTCTGCTTTGAACTTCCCCAAAAGGCCTCTGCTTTGAACTTCCCCAAAAGGCCTCTGCTTTGAACTTCCCCAAAAGGCCTCACACCAATGAAAATGATATTTATTGATTATAAACCAATGATCATTCCAGTGAATTAGCCGACGTGGGACTTTCATATCTCATCAAAACAATGTGAAGTTTTCCAATTAAAAAAAAAAATTGCCTTACAGCTTAAAATGTTCTCAAATTACTAAAACATAAGACAGCCAACAGCTTAAAATGTTCTCAAATTGATTCTAATAATCTTCATTAAAGCCGAAAAATATCCAAAGAAAAAAAAACAATAATAAAGAGCTTCAGTCAGGCTAATGGTAAAAGCACAAAATTTTATAACTTGCACACTAAATAACTCTCCATCTATTTGAGAAATCCCTCTGAAACTTAACCAGTGAGTTGCTGAGACTTGTTAAGAATAACTCCCTCGTATTTCACCTGGAACCACTTCATGGCGTCCTCCTTCGTGACCCTGTGCTGGATCCCGACACGAGACTTGCACCTCCTGCGACGCCCCACACGGTATCCTGGTCGCTCCAAGACAACAAAGAAGTCCATACCGTAGATACCGGTGGATGGATCGTACCTGAAACATCACGGTTGCACACATAAACACGAGATGGGTTACAAGAAAACTTCAAAGATAGTGATATCGATTAGTCTACACAAGATTCGGGATGCCCCTACTCCTTGTTCCCCCATCCTGAAGGAAATTTCAATCACAAGGCCTGAAGCCTTCAAAGATATCGTCACAAATTACCCGAGTCAGGACTACAATTTATGTCCCCACAGGACATTGTCAAAGGCACCCCCAACCTTAATCTCAATCCCCCTATGTTCTTCGACTACCGAGAATCGTGCAGAAAAATTACCATCACCATTGCCAAAAATCCGATCCCACAGGCATGAAGCAATTGGTTTAACTAAAAAGAAAACGGCACAAATTACTCAAGAAAGAGTCAGGACTAAAATTTATATCCCCACAAGACATTGTCAACAGCATCCCCAACCTCAATCTCGATACCAATATGTTCTTCGACTACAGAGATTCAAGCAGAAAAATTACCATTTCCATTGCCAAAAATCCCATCCCAATGAATGACTAATTAGAAGTAAACTAAATTCAAACGCAATGCAAAACAGAATCAGTTAAGCAAATCAGATTATAGATCTGGAAACAGATTAAAGGCATATTCAGATGTGTTTAAGGGCTTACTTGATTCCAAGATCAATGTGTTCTTGAATACCAAAGCCAAAGCATCCAGTGTCACTGAAGTTCCTGCGAAGCAACTCGTACTCCTTAACCTTCAACCCACTTTCCAAAAGCTGCATAGCCTTCTCGCCTCTAACGGTGACATAGCAAGCAATCTTCTCATTACGTCTGATTCCAAATGAACGCACAGTGTATCTAGCTATTGACCAAAATAACAAAGAAATAACAGTCTATCAGATCCAATTCTAAAAACGTAAAACAAATAAACTCAACACAAGAACTCGCCCAAACAACTATTGTTCATCAACAATTTCAACTTCAGATTATAAATCTTTCTTCCTATTGTCATTTGGACCATTCCATAATATAAGTCAATCGAGTACTTGAAGAGAAAAAAGAAAGTACCCTTAGAGAACACAGGGCTCTGGCCGCTTAGTTGCTCGAGCACCTAATCAAAGTAAATCATCAATGGCGGAAACAAGGAAAGAAGCAGCTAAACGAACAAAGAACAATGCACACATTAAAGCAGAACCTTGGCAGCTCTTGTAAGCCGATCTCCACTCTCACCGACTGAGATATTGAGAACGAGCTTCTGCACCTTAATATCCCTCATGGTGTTCGATAACTTCCTCTCCGAAGCCTGCGCCATATTAACAGAAGTAAATGATTAAGTCGCATGAAGGAAACAAGATTATAGGCGCTTTTTAAGAATCTATAGCTAGAAAACAGAAAGAATCTAGAGAAAATTACCATTGAAGTGTTCTGGCGGGTGGCTACGCGGCTGCGGCTTGTGTGTTGCTGGTGGTGCTACTGCTGCTCGATCCCAGGGAAGGGGGAAGAAACCCTAATATTGTTTGAAGCAGCCGAAGCTAGGGTTTCTGATTGGCCTAGGTTGTGGGCTTTAGTTTTGGGCCTATGAAATTGCTATCATATGGGCCCTACAATTGAGGCCCAATATTTTTCATAATAACAATTTAGTTTTTTTTTTTTTATTGATTTCTAGGTGTGAATAGTTTTCAAAAGTCTCTAACCATTATAGAATAGTTTATAAAGGATCATTCGCTAATTAGCTAATTTAATTGGAAAGGTGTATTGTGATGTCCACATTGGTTGAGAAGGAGAACGAAACATCATTTATAAGGATATGAAAACCTTTCCTTAGCCGTGTTTTAAATCATTGAGGGAAAGCCCAAATAGGACAAATATCTGCTAGCGGTGGACTTGGGCAGTTACATTTATCAACAACTAAACAAATGGGTTGATTGCAACCAAACACAAAGTAATTCATAGCATCGTACACTCTAAAACTTAAGTAATAATTTAATTCAAGTTGATGTAGAGGTGAGCTACGGTAATAGTGCAAAACAGACAGTCTCGATCCTATCGAAAGCAATTTTCCTGTCACTACTTATGACACCTGAAGGGCCCGACGGCGTACAGTCCTATCCTATCTAAGTTCGAGTTTTTACCCTTGCACTTCAAACAGTCGTCCATGGATGAGCGTCCTAGCAGTCTCGCTCACAATTATATTCCCTGAAGCGAATCAACGAGACAAAGTAAAAGAACGAAGAGATACTTGATAAAGATGAGTGAGTACGTGCGAAAAGTCAAAGGCGCGAGCCTTTATACCTAGCGGGCAACGAATTCTACACTAATGTTGTCTATGCATTCAGGTCGGGCATGTGGGTGGGCTTATACCTGATTGGCACGAACAATGACAGATTACGTTATTCTCAAGAAAATTAGATTATTCTAACCTAAAATAATATCTATAAATGTGAAAATAAAAAAGCATAATTTATAAATAGTAACTTGATTGGTTGGTATATTCAAACCGCTGAATTTGAAAATGTGTATAATAAAACAAATAAAATAAAATTAAGATAAGAATTGGTCAGCTTATTTATTTGACCAAAATATATAAATTATAATAATAAGGAATTAAATTAAATTAACTTATCTCCGCCATTTTTTTATTAGTTCATTTTGGATAGTAAATATCCATTCAATCTGCTGTAATTAATTAATAATTGTTTAATTAAATATTACCAATAATTGATGATCATTGAATAAGCCGCGAAAGAAGAAGTCGGACAGATAATGGTTTAATTAAATAATATATTAAACAAAAATAATATAATTTGTATTAAATTAAAAACCCGTTTCCCATGCTTACGTTGATTGGGAATCTTTGGTTTATCCGACGTCGTTTCGATGGAATATCATAAATAGAAAAGGAAAAATTGGCAAAAGAATGGCTCCCGGGAATGGAAATAAATAGTAATTATTTGGTAACAATATTTGATTCTTTTATCCAGGAATAAAAATCTGGCTATCCTTCAATTGTAGGAATGTTGCCATAAAGTCTTGAAAATTTTGTTTTGAATATAAAGATGGGTCGGGCGAAGAAGAAACGACCATGACAATTATTTTCGATTTTTTATTGAATAATATGTTTAGAGATATATACGGGCGTGGTGGGGACAGAGAAGTCTCCATTCCGAGCACTTATTTCATTCTTTATATCTGCAAAATTCTCTATTTATTTTCTTATGGGGATAGAGACTGATTCCGAAATTGTTGGGAATCAAGTTTTTTTTTTTGTTTTTTTCAAGTAATTTTTATCTGTTTATTATTTTTTTTAATAACTATTTTAAAATTTTTATTTTTAATATAATATTTATTAAAATAATTTCTAACAAATCAATATATTTCATAAAAATTTCAAAATTTAATTGAACTAATTTACTTTTAAAATATAAAATATAGTGAGAATGATATATATATATATATATATAATATTTTAATATGAATTGAAAATATTTTATATTAAGCGGGTGGGGATGGAGACGGCAATATAATTCCACCTCTATCACATTTTGTGTAATGTGAAAAAAATGTTCTTCGCTCCCTCCATTCTCTGTCAAAATTGGGAATCTATCTTGGAGGGTAAAATAGATATTTCTAAATTTATTATCTAGTTCAACACGTTGCGGTAGAAGTGATTAACGAATTAAGGGCATGTTGATATAGCTGACTGTGTCGGATATTGAATCCGTTAGTGACATTTAATGATGCAAATTATTTATAAAGTTGTATTTGTGTAAGGATAAAATTTTAATTTTATTTAAAATACAACTAAATTTACCATTTAATCCTTAAGATTTTATGGGATCATGATGGTAAGTACATTAATTTAAAGTCAATAATATAAAGTAATTTGTTTTAAATTATTAATTATTAACAAAATGAGTATTTCTACTAAATTATTCACTTGAAATTTGATATATTACAGTTAATTAATTTACACAAATTAATGGAATATTAAATTGAATAAATTTATTAAAAGTCAACACGATGCCGAGATTCTTGTGTCATTGTGGGAGTTAATCACCACCGTTGATCTCTCTTCTAATTTTTCCATTACCCCAACACTTACGCCCCGTTGAATAATCCACAATATCAAGTTCACACTTTTAATCGTAAATGAATACATTTTAAAAACATTAAAAAAAAAATAATATATACACGACTTATACCATTCCTACGGTCTTAATATCATGTGTATTAAATTTAAACTATATTTTTATTTAGTCGTCGAGTTATTATGGTCTATATTGCATCTAAATTTTTTATTAAACTAATAAACATTTAAAATAAAATAAAATATACATAATATCCTTAAATTTAATATAGTTTTTTTTTAATTATTATTAGTTCATTTTAAGAGAGATTTTTAAAATATATTCTTCCTATTAATTAAACCATACAAATTTAATTATTTAAATAAATAATCTAAAAACAACATTAACATTATTTAAAACTGTGTCAGGGTGTGATTAACTAAAACCCTTTGATTTATTTACGATTAATAATTCAATAATTAATCCATCTAAATAATTCCACAAAGACTCTACAATGCACCCGACCGTACCGGAATTAAACCCTCCCCCTTAAGCATTATAATTTACTTCGTATTTGCTTGCACGACCTTAATAAACAAACATAGTTTGCCAATCTGTCAACATGACTATGCTTTGTATTAAACCTCATCTAAATCTCTCACTCCTTCCCTCTCCCAATCTCTCCGCCCAAATCCCATTTCCTTTTTCTCTCTTTAATCTCACCCGTACGATTGATCGTTATCACACAATTTCCGGCAACCGGCGTTCAAGTTTTCATCGCCGTTCCGCCCATGGACCGCCGTGTTCGCACTAACCCATTTCTCTCCGAGCAAGAAGATCCTGGAGCCATGTCGGACGACGGCCTGCCGGGATCCCCCACCGACGGCAATGGCTCCAGAAAAAGGTTGGTTTTTTTTCAATTTAATTTACTTTAAATTAATAATTATTTTAATTTTAATTTTAATTTATGGATTTTGTTTTGTGTTTTACACTAGAAGGGGAGGGCAGAAAAGAGTGGTGTCGGTACCGATCGGTGACATGGAGGGATCTAAGAGCAAAGGGGAAGCATATCCACCGTCGGATTCATGGGCTTGGAGGAAATACGGCCAAAAGCCAATCAAAGGCTCTCCTTATCCCAGGTATTATACAAAATTAAGGGCATTTTTTTCGTAATTTTTGCTTTGATTTCTATTCATTTTGCTCTAATTGAAAGAGGAATTGACTTAATTTTGATGCATTTATAATTAATTTAATCGAAAATTTGAAGAAATGTTTAATATTTCAATTTTCATGTTAGCCGCCGCCGCCGCCGCCACCACCGGCCGGCAGTTTTTTAACCAATAAGAAATATCTAACCACCGGCAACGGTAGGATCTGGATTGAGATTGGCGCATTTTAGCACAAAGGCGGCTTTTGCTAATATCGCCGCTTTGTTTTATTATTATTATTTGTCGTAGTTGGGAATTGGGATCATACACATTATCCAATCGCTCTCATAGCGCGTGTAAACACGCACTTTTTTTTCCTTTTTCTTTTACCTAATTATTGCCCTATTTTGTTTCCTTCTTTTGCCTAATAATTGCACAATTTTTTAAAACTATTACTAAAATTACATAATTTTTAAAACCGTTTTTAAATTTTAATTTGTTTTCAATGAATTGAATCACGACATTATTCGAAGATGCCTTTCACACTGATATCATATTAGTGATTGGTGGCTACACGAAAAGTCTTTAAAATAAAATATTATTTATTGTTTTAATATAAAAATCAAATCTATTATGTAATTATTATCTTAAAAAATAGATAATTAAAAAATAAAATACTAATAATTTATTATTGAATTTTTAATGTAATTTTTGCGTTATTCTATTGAGATTTGTTTGGTGATTGGCTCATGGGCTTATCTTCTTTCCCGTTAACTGAACGGACACTTTTACTTTTGGATATATCTGAATTAATAATTAATCCCACGTTTTTTTAAATTATTATTTAGATAAATTTATTAAATATATATATATTTTTATATTTTAGGGGATATTACCGATGTAGTAGCTCCAAAGGCTGCCCGGCAAGAAAGCAAGTAGAAAGAAGCCGTGTGGACCCCACCAAGCTTGTTATTACCTACTCTTTCGACCACAACCACCAGCTCCCGGCGACCAAATCTCACCATCACCAACACCAACACCACAATTCCTCGCCCCCCTCCGCCGCCATCGCCGAGGATTCGTCACCGGGGAGCGCAACCACGTCGCCCTCCAATTCCGACCACACCAACGCGACCCCCGCGTCGCCAGCGGTGGTTTTCGCGAGTCAGCCGGAACTGGAACTCGGTGGCGACTCGCTGATGATAAAACCGTGCATCGGCGATTTTGGATGGTTGGCTGACGTGGCGTACGATAGAATCCTGGAGGGCCCGATTTATGGGGGAGGCGACATGTTCGACGACGCCGATGTAATGGTTTTGTCTGCAAGAGGAAATGACGAGGACGAGTCGTTATTTGCGGATCTTGGGGAATTACCTGAATGCTCTGTGGTTTTCGGCCGGCGGCGAGCGGTCCAACCCGACGGACCGAACCGGACATGTGGCAGGGTTTTAGATTACTAGCGGTTTTTTTTAAGGATTTGGTTGGTTTGTGTTACAGGAACATGACCGTACACTTTTCTTTCGCTTTTTTCTAGCTGGACTTTCCAAATTGCCAATTGGCGATCGCTTTGGACACTTCACAAAGAAAGAAAAAAGAGGGGGAGAGGATTTTTCTACATAATTATTATTATTTTTTTCTTTCTAATTTAGTTTTAAATTGGGATCGGTGGGTTTCTTCTGTTGTACAGTGAAAGTTAGTCAAGAATATCGAGAAAATAATGAAATTATGGTTCCTTTTGAAATTATTCTCCTCGTCTCTATTTAGATATATATATAGGTGGCGTCAACACATATGGACCCTGTCAATGGGGATCGAAATGATAAGGTGAGATGCGACGTTACATTGAGAGACCTTGGCCTGAGAAGAGGCCAGGTCGAGCCGAATGATTTGGCCTAGCGTAGAGGCAGGTCGGATGTGTCGCAGACGATTGAACATGCACGCGGCGTGTGTGGTTGAACAAGCTTAGATTCCGCATAAGCGATGTTCGATTAGCGAAGACAAACCTCGCCTAAGGTCCGACGAAGCCACAAAGCCGGAGTGAAAAATATATATGGGGCTTAATTCCCCTTAAGGCTGGTCGTGAGCGTGTCAAGATCACGACACCGCATAGTAAAAAAATATATATATATATGTAAGTATATGTAGAGATCCTACCCATAGTTTCCGTTGGAGGCTTCTTTCTAATTGTGAAGGATATTAGAATAGGTTCCGAATTGCTGGCGATGACATGGTAAAGGGAATCTATGAGCCCAACAGGATCATGAACGATGAACAAGAATTGGAGATAGGATGCAGAACAAGAATAGGACAAGAATCGGTGGAATGCGGTAGCTTTAAGAGAGAGGGCCAGAGTCCATGTCTTATTCTGTAAAAGTAAGCTCATCGGCATTAGAGGAGGAGAAGTAGTGGAGCACGTCAAGGCACTTCTTGATCCTCGTCTGCCTGGCCGGCATATAGATATACGTACACACGCACACACAATTTGTAACGGCCCAGACCCACATATATTGTTCTCTTTGGACTTTCCTTTTCAAGCTTCCCCTCAAGAGTTTAAAACGCATCTGCGAGAGAGATTTTCACACCCTTATAAGAAATTCACAACTTTCCCGGTTGAACGGAGAGACTAACATTGAGAAGAGGTTTTCAATTTTAAAGAAGTGCGCCTTTCAAACCACAACCAACCACAACCATGCTCTTATTCTACAAAAGAGATACAAATATACAAAATAAGTAATCACTTGCTGTATTTCTGTGTAAATGTTTGAAGCTTTTAACTTAGCTGGAGCAACATCCAATCCTCTTCAGAACCGACGAGTCGTCCTTGACATCTATTGTCTGGCCTTTCGACGGAAGGGTTGAACCGCTTGCGCTGTCGCCTGCCTCGACTGATCTCTTGCACACGATGCGATATATTTGAGAGAGCACCTCCGTGAAAGCACTCTCGACGTTCGTTGCATCCAGTGCAGAGGTCTCCATGAAGTATAAAGACTCCATCTCGGAAAATGATTTTCCATCTTCGGTTGGAACGAGAACGAGGTGTCGTAAATCGCATTTGTTGCCAATGAGCATCACTACCATGTTTGGGTCTGTGTGATTCCTCAATTCCTTTAACCATCTTGCAGCGTTCTCGAATGTTGGTCGTCGAGTGACATCGTACACAAGCAAAGCACCTACCGCTCCTCGGTAGTAAGCACTGGTTATCGCTCGGTACCTACACGGAAAGAGCTAATCTGAACTGAAGGAAGCAAACAAGAGCTTTTAAGTGGTAACTACAAATCCAAATAACTGCCAATAAATAACTGTCAAAATAAACAAAGAAGCGTACGTTTTTCTAATCAAACCCGCCTCCCACACACCCGCCAACCCATTGGATTTGGATTAATGTTTCGTTCTCCTCTCCAACTAATGTAAGATCTCACAATCCACCCCCCTTCGGAGCCCAACGTCCTTGTTGACACTCGTTCCTCTCTCCAATCGATGTGGTATCTCACAATTCACCCCCTTCTGGGCCCAACGTCCTCACTGGTACACCGCCTAGTGTCCACCCCCTTCGAAGTCATAGTCCTCGCTAGTACACCGCCTAGTGTCTGGCTCTAATACAATTTGTAACGACCCAAACCCACCACTAGCAGATTTTGGGCTTTCCCTTTCGAGCTTCCCCTTAAGGTTTCTAAAATGCATCTGCTAGAGAAAAGTTCAACACCCTTACAAAGAACGTTTCGTTCTCCTCTCCAACCGATGTGGGATCTCAAAATCCACCCTCCGTCAGGGCCTAACGTCCTAATTGGCACTCGTTCCTTTCTTATGGTGCCTATGAAACCTTCGAACAAATACAGAAACTATTGGATGCCAGCTTCTGCATATATTTCAATATTTGGTCTCTGTTTCCAATCATAGTCAAGCTTCAGCAGCAGTGGGATTCAGTAAAGACAAGCCGTGAAGTTTGAATTGGGCTCAATTCTAAGAGCACACACTAAATCATTGTATGTATTTTGACCCATAACTAAAGAATGGATGTTGAACAGATGAGGACAGTTATGACCTTCGAGTACCAATCTAAACAGAAATAAAAAATTCCCTATTTCTCGAAAGTTTATCTGAAAGTGTAATGGCCCAAGACCACTGCAAGCAGATATTGTCCTATTTGGGTGGCTTTCCCTTTTGGGCTTCCCCTCAAAGTTTTAAAACGCATCTACTAGAAAGAGGTTTTCACACCCTTGTAAGGAATGTTGGCTTTCCCTTTTGGGCTTCCCCTTAAAGTTTTAAAACGCATCTACTAGAAAGAGGTTTTCACACCCTTGTAAGGAATGTTTTGTTCCCCTTTCCAACCGATGCGGGATCTCACAATCCACCCACCTTGAGAGCCAGTGTCCTCGCTGGCACACCGCCCGGTGTTTGGCTCTAATACCATTTATAACAGCCCAAAAACCCACCACTAGTAGATATTGTCTACTTTGGCCCGTTACGTATCGGCGTCAGCCTCACGGTTTCAAAACGCGTCTACTAAGTAGAGGTTTTCACACCCTTGTAAGAAATGTTTCATTCCCTTTTCTAACCGACGTGGGATCTCATAGAAAGTTTCCCAAATTTCCATGCAAGGATGCACATTTAGGGCATGCCCAAGATACGTTTTCAGATACCGCTATACAATTACAACCCGTCTTTGCTCAATAGATACAAAACACCCCGTACGCTGAGGAGCAAAAGGAGGAATTCGTCCAATGAACAAGCATACCACAAGTTCTTCCAATGAAGAAGCAAAAAAAAAAAAAAAAAAAAAAAAAAAAAAAAAAAAAAAAAAAAAAAAAAAAAAAAAAAA